GCTCGGCGGGGAGCCCTGCGGGAAGCGGAGCCCGAGCAGCAGCGCCGGCGCGGGAGAGCCGCCCGCCGACGCCCCCGCCCCGCAGGTGTGTAAGCCCGCGCGCTCTCGCTGTTTTCCTTCACCTCCTCTGAACCTCCCTGCCTATTTCTCTGGTTTTTCTCCGGGTGGTGTGCATGGGCAGTGCTGCTCCGTCTGTTGGTTTATGGGGTCTCAGAGGTTGACGTTCACCCGAGAGGATTCGTCTGCATCTCTTGCGTTATCTCGTATGAGGTAGTAATTGTGAAGGTGGTGAACCCTTACTGTGTAGAGTGAGATCTGCTGATTCTGCCTGACAGGATCGTGATTGACAGTTGGTGTTGGAGATGTTTCTTTTGTGATCGATTTTTCCTAAATATGTGTTCTTTAAAGTGCTTGACAGCTGGACACGAAACCTTTGGTTAATGCTTTTTCGGTGTTGGACACGTAAAGGAAACTTGTCTCCGGCGTCATGAATGGAAAATAGACAGATTCTTTGTCCCTAGTGACCGAGGGGAGACTGTCGTCCACGGTTTTGGAGAATGCTGCTGCAGAAATAGTAGCAATAGTGGGGAGGGTTAAATTTGTGTGAACGGGGAGTACTGATCTGTGTGTCCGTGAAGGAAGGAATGGCGTATCCCCCTTCCCCTCCCAGCAGGGTGTGGCACTTCTTCGTGTGAGAGCTTTGGTGTACAACTCGTCTTGTGTCAAATCGTATCAGTTAGTAACGGTGAAGGCGAACCCTTACTCTGTAAAATGAGATCTGCTGATTCTGCATGACAGTGTCGGGGTTGACACTTGGTCTTGAAGATGTTTCTTTTCTGATCATTTTTTCCCGAATCTGTGTACTTTGAAGTGGTTGATAGCTGGACACAAACCCATTCGTTAATGCATTTGCAATGTTGGACTCCCAAAGAAAACGTGCATGTGGCTTCATGAATGGAAAAGAGACAGATTCTTTTCCCTAGTGAAAAAAAGAGAGTGTCGCCCATCTTTTGGGGGAATGCTGCTCCTGAATTGGCAGAAATGCTAGCAGTAGTGGGATGGGTTAACTGTGTGTGAATGGGGAGT